AATGAACTACAATTGGCTATTTTAAAATTGGGCAATCAACTGATCTGCTCAGCTGGGAATGAGAAAGGGAAGAGAAATAGCATTAGATTCACAACAAAAAAGAACATTTCAAGATCTATCCTGAAGTAAAATGCTGTCCGTGGTAGGTTAGTATCTATAATCATCCAAGGAAGATCTATTAATACTAATAACTCTTGTTCAGATTTATGCACCAATAACTCGAATCAAAGATGAATAAACTGAGGAATTCTACCAACTTTTGTAGTCTGAAATTGATGGCTCAAGATGCATTATTACTAGTAAATGGTGATTTAAATCCAAAAGTTGAAAATAAAGAAAGATTTATAGTTGGAGAATGGCCTTGGTGATGGAAATGAGACCAGAGATCACACAGTAGAATTTTGTACAAACAAGCACTTATGCATTGCTAATACCTTCCCCCACCCAATGGACTTTGCTTGATGGAATACAGACGCATCAAGTTGACTAGATATGTAGAAGGGATGGTTGAGAAGTTCAACGCTGGCAGTCAGAACAAGGCCAGGGGCCGACCATGGAATAGGCCATCAAATGCTAATGTATAAGTTTCAATCGAAGCTGACAGCCAAAATAAAGGGAGACATTAAATGAGATGCATTGACACAGTGATTGAACAATGAATAGGCTTAAGCACAGCAGAGATTGTGAAAATGGGGCAGGACTGGATTGTTTGTTATGTGCCATCGAGTCTCCTGTGACTCATAGCAATCCTATGTATAGCACCTCTGAAGCCTGCCCTATCCTGAGTCAGTCTCACTGACTCTGACACACCTACCTCCATTAACCCAGTTACTGTATCAATCCATCTCATCTGTGGTCTTTCTCTCCTGCGCTGTCCCTCCACCCTTCCATGGATTATGTCCTTCTCCAAGTACAAGCCCCTCCTGGCCACATTCCCAAAGTATGTGAGACAGAGCTTCAAAATCCTAACCTCCAAGAAGAAACTTGGTTTCACCAAAACTATTTGTTTTCTGGGCCATCCATGGTATGTTCAAGACTCTTCTCCAGCACTACAATTCAAAGGCATCAATTCTTCTGTCATCTTTAGCCATTGTCCAGCTCTCCTATGCATAGCAAGTAATTGCAAAGCCCTAGATCAGGCGCACCATAGTGTCTAGATTGACATCATTGCTTTTCAGTACTCTGGAGAGGTCCCTGACAACAGATTGTCCCAGTGCAATTCATCTATTGATTTCTTGACTGCTGGTGCCAAGAGTGTTGATTGTCGAGCCAAGCAAGCTGTAATTGTTAACAACCTGAATCTCTTCTCCATCTATAATAGTGTTGCCAATTGGCCCAGTGGATAAGGTCTCATAATTTCTTTTTATTTGAATGAAGGTTTACAAAGCAAGTTAGTTTTCCATTTAACCAGTCATACACATCTTGTTTTATAACATTAATTACAATATCCACAATGCAATTGCATTCCCCCTCCACTTCCTTCCTTGTAATTTTAATTTTCATTGATTTTTTTAAATCCAACCTCTTCCTGCCTTCAAGCATGCCCTTGGGTAAATTATGTTAAGGAGTACTTCTCTGGTTACCACCTTATGCTGTTATTATTGTTAGGTGCCTTGAGCCAACTAGGCCCATTGTGACCCTATAAACATTTTTTTAATTTCATTTCCTAGTTTTCCTTGTGAATGAGGCCATTACGAGATATAAGAAGTTAATTCTAGCAAAATTTATTGACAAGGGCGCACCACCTGTCCCCTCTCATTCTCTTGTTCTCCTTGCTCCAGCCTGGAGGAATGATGGCTAGAGGCACAATGGTCGTTTTATGGAAACCTTGTGGATGAAGCATGAGCTAAAAAAGGGTGGAGTGGAAAGGAGGAAGGGCCCTGGGAGATTGTAGGGGATCCGGGGTGGTGCAGGTGGTGATCTCCTGAGGTTCAGACCCACCAGCGGCTCTGTGCAAGGAAGGGGAACAGTCTCTTCCCATTGAGATTTACAGCTTTGAGAAACTGACAGAGGGTCACTATGAGTTTCTGCGATGTGCCCTCATGTCAACTGTGATGCATAGTGACCCCTATGCACAATAGCTCTGAACCATGTCCTATTCTGAGCCAGTCTCACTGTCTCCAACACACCTGCCCCTATTACTCCAGAAACTGTGTCAATCCATTTCATTCAGAGTCATCTTCTCCTGTATTGTCCCTCCACCCTTCCAAGCATGATGTCCTTCTCCAAGGACTGGTCCATCCTGGCCACATGCCCCAAATAAGTCAGATGGATAAACCTATTTGTTCCCTTAGCAGTCCATGGTATGTTCAAGACTCTTCTCCAGCACCACAATTCAAAGGCATCAATTTTTCTTCCATCATCCTTTTTCATTGTCCAGCTTGCTGATGCATAGTAAGTAATTGCGAAGACTATAGCCTGGATCAGGCACATCATAATCTCTAGACTGACTATGAGTTGAAATTTATTAATAATTATAATTGTTCATGATCTGTCCTGCCTTTGCTTCTTTTCTCTGAAGTAGGTGGGAACTATCTTGCCCGGGAAGGTCTTGCTAGCTTGGTCTGTTCATTGATCTTACTAAAGCCTTTGAAGAATAAATAGACCATGAATTTGGTGGCAGAATTCTTGCCTCCCATGTAGGGAACCAGCTGGGCTGTGTTCTGGCTGACACACCTCAGGGGCAGACATCATCTGCCAGGGGAGGCTCTGGTGTTACTGTGATTCTGATCAACTGAACTTTCAGATGAAGATGAAGTAGAAAGAAAGGCTGGGAACCTAACTAAAAAATTCAGTAGGCCAAAGACCCATAGGTGACAATGCTGTGATCGCATTGTGTGTGGGGAGGGGTTACCACAGGGAGGAAACTCATTCAAGGCACTTAACAACAATTTATGCCAGTCTTTACATCCATGTGGTTGCTCCACTCTCACATGACTGTGTAGCCAGTTGATGAGAGGGAACTCAGGGTGGACACCACCTCCTGGGAGCCCTCAGGCTCTACTGTAGAGCACGCAACACTTGGGTTTATTGTCTCAAGAACTGTGTCCAGTGAGGGGAGAGCAAATTCCCTAAAGGACTTCAGAGAGCTGTGGAAGGAGAACTGTGTTGAGTGTCCCTCTCAATAAAAACAATAAATATTCAAGAGAGCAGAGGATTTGGACAGTTCTGTGATGAGAGAATTGGTCAAGATAAAAAGCAAAAGATTGCTACGCCTGGCAGCCTTCAGGGATGGATGGCTCTTGGCAGGCCCTCCCGCGATGGGAACACAGACTGACGCTAATAGCAGCGTCATTGAGGAGGAGAAGCATTTCATGTCAGAGCTCCTGTAATCTTCCCGGGTTTGTGCAGATGTAAGTGATATTTCACGGCGAAAATACCAACACATGAAGCTCCTTGGTCGCCTCCTTCCTAAAGGAGCTTTAGCTTCTGACTTAAACTCATTAACCCACCCAGCAATTACAGGTCCTCACAGCTCTCCCTAGGTGGGGGCAGTGCCAGGTCTTTCACTTCCTGGGGGTGGCAAATCAGAACTCAGGAAAGTTCAAGTGCTGTCTCCTGGCTGAGAGGCGTGACAGCAGAGCGGCAAAGTAAAAGCAAATTATAGAGTCTGTAGCTAAGGTGGTGGGAGGCCGTCAGGTAAGTAACAGCTGCCAAGGAGAGCTGGCCTGGGTGTGAAGAGGACCAGGAGCAGAAAGACAGGACTTGATGCCCTAGCTTCAGAGAGTGTAAGGCTGACTTGGAAAAATGCTCCAAACTCCAGAAACTCAAAGACTCAGACCCCCCACCCCCACCCCCCTCCAGGGAACTGTTTGTCCATTCGAGTGATTTTGGTCTTTTTCTAGCTATAGTTAATATTCACAACTTCTGTCTTTAAACGGACATTCTGGCTCAGCTTAAGTTGAGCAAGGATGTCAGTTTAAAGACTAAGGAGTGTATGACCTAAGTGATGGTGTTTTCAGTTACTTATTTTATATGTGAAAGTTGGACAGTGAGTAAGGAAGGTTGAAGAAGAGTTGATACAAAACCAAAGATTACTATACCTGAAAGCCTTCAGGGATGAATGGCCCATCCTGCCTTGGGAACACAGGCCTTTGACTGTGAGGTCGAAGAAGAATTACTAAAGATCCCACGGACTGCCAAAAGAACAAACAAATCTGTCTCGGAAGCAGTGTAACCATAGTACTCCTTAAAGATAAGGATGGGAAAGTTGGTCTCACGTACTTCGGGCGTGTTTCAGGAAGGGGCAGCACTTGGAAGAAGCCATCATGCTGGAAAATGTGGAGGGTCAAAGAAAGAGAGAAGACCCTCCAGAAGATGGACTGATGCCAGCGACCGTGAGGATGGTGCAGGGATGGTAGGATTAAAATCTACTGTTGATAGATTCTCATGAATCCTAGTGACTCTCTGGCATTGAACAACAATCCATCTGTCATTTCGTCACAGGTGAGCCATTGGAACTGGAGAAAACTCCAAGATTATTACTCACACAGACTTTATTGTTGGTAAGTGCCATCAGGTTGACTAGGACTCATAGCCACCATATGAACAAGCCCCCTGAGAGCCCCCTGAGCCCCTGCTTCCCTGTGCCTCTGGGGGAAGGGGGATGCTCAGCAGACACTGTGGTGTGCCTGAAACGTGGGGACGCATGCTTTAAATAAAGATGCAGACCCCTGCCTCTGGGTTTAAAATACCTCTAGAGTCCAAAGTTTTACCTTAAAGGTAAATCTTTAAAAGATTTTAAAATATTTAAAAGAAATCTCTGGGAGATTTTGACCCAAGTTTAAGCAGCTCTGGGTCACACCACCTTTACAAAAGAGTTTGTGATTTGGAATTAGGACATTTAAAAATATGCATCACTCCTGATTATAAGTTTTAATGAAGTGGGGAACAAAATGAGCCCAAAGTGCTCCTCGTGAGTTCCCTTTAATTTTGCCAAATTAATCCCTTTCTCACCGTGAAGAGTGACGACAATCTGCAGAGGGCGTTGGGAGGGTGCTTTACTCGTGTTGTCCACACGGTGGCAGGCCAGGCACTCGGATCCCAGCAGCCAGGGGCGCGCGCAGCTTGCCGGGCCCAGGACTTGGCTGAAGAGGCTTGACGATCTTGCGCCTTTGCAAGGTTCAGGGGTACGTGAGTGGGCCTGTGAGCTTCCCACTGATACCTGGGCTAGATATGCAGAGAGTGGATACGTTTCTCAGGAGCAGTGGTGCGTTTGCTCTAGGAAGGGTTGTACAAACTTCCAGAGTTCCTGGGTAAACTGGGGTGACTGGGGTGCTTCTTGCTCCAGGGGTGAGTGCCTCATAATCCCTTTCAGAGGATCCAGAGCATCTAGAAAGGAGGCGGGAGTTAGGGTGCTTGTGTATTGGGGTATTGAAGAATGCGTTAGGTCCCTGTTCTGTTTTATTGGAGAGAAGGAAATGCTTGGATGGCATTTTCTTCCAATTGAAAGGGCAAAGAAGACATAAGAGGAGGTGTTTTGCTTACTGGAAGACGCCAACTAATGAGGGACGGGCATGGCCCCCTTGAACAGACAAGGCCTTGAATAAAACAGTGCTGCGGATCTATTTCAGCCAGGGTCACATTCCACCACATTAAATAACCCAGCGAGAGGCTTGATGATACATTCAGTGAAACCTTGAAGAGACCCTTTTACATGGTTTTAACATAGGCTTTATTCTTGGGTCTGATTGCAGCTATGGCATTCATCAGTGGGTACAAAATACTTGCACACGATTCAGGACCCAGTTCCCTGGGTGTAGCAAATATTTTGCTTTCAGTTACTAATGGGAAGGTTGCTGGTTCTAACCCACCCAGGGCCAGCATAGTGGGTGGAGCCAGCTCTCATCTGCACTGTCTCCTCCTGTCTTCAGCTGTCCTCCTCACACCCACCAAACCCCTTACCCTCCAGTCAGCTCTGGTTCCATGGCTCCCCCGTGGAACATTTCTACCTAGTACTAAAGGAGCTGGTGGCCTAGAAGGCAGAGGGTTATACTGCCCACCCAAAGACAAACAGTTCGAATCCACCAGCTGCTCTGAAGGAGAAAGAGGGACCATCTCCTCCCATGCAATTAACTCTGAAAACCTGCTGGAGGGTCAGCTATGAGTTGGTTCCACCTGGAAGGCACACAGCAAAAATATGCAGTCTTTACCAGCCTCTGCTATGGTGTGTCTCAAATAGTGCCTGACAGACAATGAATAACCAGTAGCACCTGACCCCAAGCATGTCATCGTAGAACTGTTCTCCAAGATTTTCAAGGACTGATTTCCCAGAAGTAGATCACAGACTTTCCTTTGAAGTTTGCTGGGCTTCCAAGAGTTGGGTAGATTCAAACAGAATTCTATCCTGTCATTTATTTATTGGGTGCCTCCTACATGGCCCACATTCTGGTTGTCAGTTTGTGGAAGACTATTGTTTTTTCCTCACAGGCTGCCCTTTCAACAGTAATAGACATTTTAAAGAGTTCCTAGAAGAGCAACGCTGTCAGTCTAGAGACTAAAGTGCACCTGATCTGGGCCATGGTCTTTGCAATTACTCACTATGCATTAGAGAGCTGGACAATGACTAAGGATTATAGAAGAATCAATGCTTTTGAGCTGTGGTGCTGGAGAAGAGTATTGAACATACCATGAACGTCTAAAAGAACAAAACAGGTCCACCCTGGAGAGGGTGAAACCAAGCTGCTCCTTGGAGGCAAGGAATTTGACGTTCTATCTGACATACCTTGGGTGTGTTGCAAGGAGGGAACCAGTCCTTGGAGAGAGACATCATGCTTGAGAGGGTGGAGGGACAGAGCAAGAGAGGAAGACCCTGGATGATGGATTGACCCAGTGACTGGGGTAACATGGGAGGGTGTGTTTGAGACAATGAGATTGGCTCAAGCTAGAGCAGGGTTCCGAGCTGTTGTTCATAGGGTGTCTCTGAGTGGCAAGTGACTCCATGGTACATATCAACACTAGGTGGTGTAAATGGCTTATGCTCAGTTGGAAATTGTAAGTTTAGAGGTTTGAACCCACTTCGTGGCACCTAAGAAGTGAAGATCTTGCAATCGGCTCTGTAAAGATCCCTTCCCTTCTTCCCTTCCTTCCTCCCTTCCTCCCTCTCTCCTTCTTTCTCTCTCTCATTACGTTGAGTCTGAATTGACTCATAATTGACTCTGTCAGATTTCTGAGGCTATAAATGGTGCAGGAGGAGATGTTTCTCCCACATAGCTACTGGTGAATTTGAACCTCCAGAGAAGTGAGGGCCTTTGAGCCAGCAGCACTCTCCCTGTGGACAAGGCCAGAGAAGCACTGAGAACCATCAGAGCAAAGAGGAAGAAAAGAAAGAGGCCTCTCTTTAGTTGGAGCCAGGGAGTGAAATCAGGGTTTGGCCCCTTGGATGTCACCTGGGGGTAGGTGTCTTTCTCATTGGAATCAAGTCTTAAGCAGAGTCTGGTTCATGCCTGGGAGGCTGGCTCGAGTTAGTTTGTTTGCTGAGCTTTGATTGTCAGCGGAGTTTGGCTCACTTCAGAGAACCAAATGCAAATCCATCTCCCAAGTACCATTTTCCCACAAATAATAGAGAACCATTGCTGGGCGGACTGTGGGCCTGTAGTTCTCTAATAATAGCATTTTCATGACAGAAAATCACATCCCCACTGCGAACACAGCTGAGACCATAAAATCAGCTATTGAGATAGTCTGGTTAAAATAAAGCATTATCCTCAGAGATGGGCCTGTCCATGGGGTTCTGGGGGAAGCCAGGCAAGGGGACCTGGAGGTCCTGCTGGAAATGAGTAGGTCAAAAAACACACTTCCATCCAGGGATGATTAAACTCAATCACAGAGCTGTTAGGAGACCCTGGCCTCACCTTCCCCACAGGAGGGTGAAGTGGGTAATTCCACGCACAAAGGGGGGAAGGCCTGGTGGGACCGGGCAGTAAAGTAGCAGAGGAGGCCAGAAGGAGGCTGCCCATGGAAGGTTTGGCCATTTTAAGGGGCTTCCCTTAGGAAGTTGGGGGTAAAAATGGCCTCATTTTAGGCAGATCCTGTTCTGAGTTGGGAATCAAGAGATAGATGGGAGACAGCTTCCGACAGAGAAGGCCTAGGACTAAAGAATTTACAAGGTGGCTGGCGGTGTTCCATCCTCACATAAAGAAGAAACAAACACTGGCTTGTACCTTGTTCTTCTTCAAATACTTAACTTCTCTACTTATTGCATAAAAAACCCACTTTTGTTCTGAAAATTATCAAACTCACTCAGGAGCAGAGGGGATGATTCAACGTGGTGGTAGCTCTTTAACTTGTCTGCCTATTAGCAATCCTTGGGGATCTTTTAAAAAGCCCAAGGCCAAGAGCCTGCTCCCCAGGTGCTTCAGATGATCTGGAGGGTGGGATGTGAGTACCTGTGTGTGAAGGGCCCTGGGTGGATGGCAAGGTGGGTACACCACCCACACCCTCCATGGCTTCCTCCCGTATCAGTACATAGCTCATCCCACTGATCTGTGTCCCATGTCCCGAGTTTTCCTCCCGCCTCCTCTGCACTAACGACATTAGTGTAAATTCCAGAATTCATATGATTTTGCCAGGAATGCTTCAGTATAAAAATTTTAAAAAACAAAACACCAACCACCACCAAACAAATAAACCCACCCAAAAGTGAGCATAATAACAATATCCTTCCAACAAAAATTAATAGTAGTTCCCTATTATCCTCTCATATTCTGTCTGCTTTTGCCGTTCAGTTTCTTTTATCTTATAGATTTCCATTTTATCCCAAGGAGGTGAACAATGACCCCCCCCCCATTCCTTCTGTTGTTAAGGATGTGGAGTTGGTGGGGAGAACGAGGTCCCTAATCTTTTAGGGACAGCCTTACCCCCACTTGCTGATGAGGGAGCAACTGAGGCAGGGCTGCTCATTTATTAATTAAATGACAACTGATTTGGTGCCTCCAGCACGCTCCCACCTTCTGTCGCTTTGCTGTGCTGTGGTGGTTTGGGGTTGCTATGATGTTAGAAACTATGACCCTGGTTTCCAGGTACCAGTAGAGCCACCATGGTCGACAGGTTTCCCCAGAGCTTCCAAACGAGGAACAAAAGTCCGGCAATCTACTTCTGAGAATTTATTGTTGTTGTTCTGTGCCATCAAGTAAAATATTTCTCATGAACTATTGATAAAAATCTCACCCCATCCTGCCCATCCTCACAATCTCCCCTATGTTCATGCCCACTGTTGCAGGCACCGCGTCAACTCATCACATTGAGGGCCTTCCTCTCTCTTCCAGTTGCGATGTCTTTTTCCAAGAACTGGCCCATCCTGATAACATGCAAAAAATGTGTGAGATGAAACTTTCAAAAATTAGACACAAAATTATGGATCACAACTGAATATGGTCTGCAATAGAGCTAGAAGATAAGTGCCAGGTTGGAAGGCACTGCAAATACACAGAGGCTTAAGCAGTGGATTTCGAAATCCTCACAGTGGTGATGATGGTGCAGCACTGGAACCTTTCCATCTGTTGTGCCAGACATCACGCTGACAGAATGACAGCTCACAGCAATAAAGCCTGCATGCCCAGCACTGTGCTGCTGTTATTTCAAGCAGAGCACAGAGACAGAGCCAAGGCAGGGATTCGAGAAGCACTGGGGTCAGTGATGGAAGTGCCTGTTTCTGTTACAACTGCAGTCAGACAGCCCCTTACTGATGGACTGGGTACCTGTATGTGGTGCACCTTTAAAGTTCAGACTCATGAAGAAATGCTCAGAATCACTACCAATCAGAGAGATGCAACAGCAATGAGATACCACCTCACTCCAGCAGCAGTAGCAAAGTTTAACAGGACATCAAGCAATAAATGTTGGAGAGGATGTGGAGAGGTGGGAACTCTCATACACTGTTGGTGGGATTGTAAAATCACGTAACCACTCTGGAAAGCAGTTTGGCATTCCCTCAAAAAGCTGAACATAGAAATTCCGTATGACCTAGCTATTGCACTGCTAGGAATATACCCCAAGGAAAATAGAACTGAGACACAAAAGGAGATTTTGTATACCAGGGTTAATAGTAGTGTTAATCACAATAGTAAGAATATGGAAACAGCCTAAATGTCAATCAATAAATGAGTGGACTG